GGCGTATACCCTGCTCAGAAGCCCGCTTGGAACCGCTGATAACCTGAAATATCTCGCGGCCTGGATCTTCTGCACCAAGATGGTCAAGCTAACGGCGTATTTTCTCCGCGAGCCTCAGGATCTCATCATGCTGCCGGGTTATTTCCTCTTTGCCTACTTCCACAGCTTGATTAAGCTATATGCTGGGTTGACCTTCTGGGAGACTAACTGGGGAGGCAGGAACCTTTCTTCCATCAATAGCCAACCTGGTGGCGGCAACGATGACGACGACGACGCTGACGACAGCAGCGACGATAGTGTCGACGGCGGCGTGCAGCTTCCGCCTACTCCGCCTTCATCACGCCAGAGAAAGACAGCCGGTAGTTCCAGCTCGGGCAGTGGAGGTAATGCTTCAGGAGCTAATCGCGTGCAGTTTAGGACTTCCATTGTCGGCATCAAGGCACGAAAAACGCAGGCTCAATCCATGACTAGATTGTCGTCCTCAAGCACGTCGAGCAGATCGAGCAGCACCTCGTCCAAATGGCAGCGGTGTCCCGGTTGTCGGAAGTTACACTCAGATTCTGGCAGTGCGACAGGAGGATGCACAGTCAGGGATGTATGGGGTCGATAATGGAAGCTGACAGGAAGCTGGTGAGTCACTGAGTTCATTCTTACCCGGAAAATGGCGCCATCTCTGTATTGTTGTTTAGCATGGAGTTATAGGAAGTTTGCATGATAGATGGACTTGATGTTTCCGCTTTTTCTTTAACGTGCATCAGCAACCGAGTGTCGCCGTCCCATCTGGAACGTAGATTCTCAGGCTAGGCATCAGCAGAAATCCCTTCGAAGCCTCACTATAATTGACTCCGTAGGAGGCAGTCCGTGGGAGAACCTAGTTTAGCTCGCAGTGTGAAAGTAGAAGACAATATGACCGTGCTAACCAGAGTTTTGTAAACAAATTGAAGAACTTAGATGGCAGCGACTCAATGGCAAAACCGCACAACTCAGACAGGGGTGAGGAACCAATCCAATAGACGCTGCTGCGCTGGTATCATCTCGCCTCTCTGTATTTAGCCGGGAATCAGCTGCAATATGATTCCTGTGTCAGTTTTGCCACCAATCACGGCGGATATGCGGGATAGCAGCAATGTTCTCCGCATAAAAACTCATTACTCTGCGGGGGACCCCGTATTGCCCAGAAGCTAATCTGAAGAAGAGTTTAGGCCGCGGACGACGTACCTTTTCCCTCGTGGATCAAGCCAGCACGGACAGGCGGACCGGAAGCCGTGTAATTTCGCGATGTGGGTGTCTCATCTAGTCACTTCCCGGCGGAGTGATCGATCCATTGCATATATACACTGTGGTCTCTCCGCTATAATGCAATTTCAAGGATCGAGCTATCACCATCATGAAATACTGGCTCCAACAGCTAGGGCTGGCGGTGCTCTGCGCATCGAGCGCCGCCGCACGCACTGCCGAACAGGCGTACGAGTTCAAATCCGTCGCGATCACAGGAGGCGGCTACATCACTGGCATTGTGGGCCACCCAACCGAAAAGAACCTGCTGTACGCTCGTACCGACATCGGTAGCACCTATCGCTGGGAACAAGGGCTGAACAAATGGATTCCACTCACCGATTTCATCGGCCCCGAGGACGAGAATCTGCTCGGGACGGAGAGCGTGGCCATGGATCCGACTGATCCGAACCGCTTGTATCTCGCGCAGGGCCGGTACCTGAGTTCCAATAACTCCGCGGTTTTCGTGTCGGACGACCGGGGAGCGACTTTTACGCGATACCGCGCACCCTTCCCGATGGGCGCGAATGAGTTGGGTCGGAATAATGGGGAGAGACTCGCGGTTAACCCGTTCAGGCCGAATGAGCTATGGATGGGAACTCGCAACGCTGGGTTGATGAAGAGTAGTGATCGCGCGAAGACGTGGACGAATGTGACGAACTTCCCTGATGCAGCGGCCAACGGGATTGGAATCACGTTTGTTATTTTCGACCCGCAGCATGAGGGGACTATCTATGTGGGCGCTTGCATTCCCGGCGGATTGTACTATACGACCGACGGGGGAAAGAACTGGAAGTCCATACCAGGGCAGCCAATGCACTGGGATCCGTCTTTGCTGGTCTACCCCAACGAAACCCAGCCGCAGAGCGCGGGCCCCCAGCCGATGAAAGCAGTATTGGCATCTAATGGAGCGTTGTACGTCACTTATGCGGATTATCCTGGACCATGGGGAGTGGCCTACGGCGCGGTGCATGTCTACAACACGACAGCATCCACCTGGGTGGACATAACACCTAATGCTAACAATACATCTCCCAAACCGTATACCCCCCAGGCATTCCCGGCAGGCGGATACTGCGGTCTGAGCGTCGCAGCCGACGACCCAGATACTGTCGTCGTGGTCTCGCTTGACCGCGACCCGGGCCCAGCGCTGGATAGCGTGTACCTCTCCCGCGACGGAGGCAAGAGCTGGAAAGACGTCTCGCAGCTGTCGACCCCACCAGGTAGCGGAGGGTACTGGGGCCATCCGATCGCCGAAGCAGCACTCGTCAACGGAACAAAAGTCCCCTGGCTGAGCTTCAACTGGGGACCTCAGTGGGGCGGATACGGCGCGCCCTCCCCCGTCAAGGGATTGACCAAGTTCGGCTGGTGGATGACCGCCGTGCTCATCGACCCGAGCAACGCCGACCATGTCCTATACGGAACCGGCGCAACGATCTGGGCGACTGATACCATTGCCCAGGCTGACAAGAATTTAGCACCGAAATGGTACATCCAGGCCCAAGGGATCGAGGAAACCGTCACCCTGGCAATGATCAGTCCCCGGGAGGGAGCGCATCTCCTCAGCGGGGCGGGCGACATCAACGGATTCCGGCACGATGATCTCGACACGCCGCAGCCGATGTTCGGCCTGCCTGTGTTCTCGAACCTGAATACCCTCGACTGGGCTGGACAGCGGCCGGAGGTGATCGTGCGCGGTGGGCCATGCGGGCATCAGTATCCGGACGGATGTGGCCAAGGGGCATATTCGACGGACGGAGGAAGCGAGTGGACCAAGTTCCAGACCTGCATCAAGGGTGTGAACACGAGCTCCACCAACCCAGGCGTTATGACTATCGACGCCTCCGGAAAATACGTCGTCTGGACTTCGGCCATGTACGTCGTCTCGCCATCTGTGCAGGCTGTGGCTCCGGCAGCGAATGACTCGGGGCCGTACGCTTCGAATGACTGGGGCAAGACCTGGACATCGCCTCGCGGGCTGACGGTGCAGACGCCATACATTAGCGCCGATCGCGTACAGACGAAGACATTCTACGCTTTCTCCAGTGGCGTTTGGTACGTCAGCACTGATGGCGGCGTCTCCTATGATGCTTTCAATGCAACAAAGCTGGGACTGCCTGCGCACACCGGCGCTGTCCCCGTCGTGAACGTCGACAGGGCAGGCGAGATCTGGCTAGCACTCGGTAGCAATGGAGTCTATCATACCACCGACTTTGGGAAGAGCTGGAAACGCATTACGCACAAAGGAACAGTCGCCGACTTGATCACTGTTGGTGCAGCAGCTCCTGGGTCTAAGCAGCCGGCACTGTTCATCAGAGGCTCGCCTGGCCATCCAAATAAGAGTGATTATGGGATCTATCGTTCAGATGATAACGGGTCCACATGGGACAGGGTTGATGATGATACACACCGTTATGGAGGATTCAATCTCATTCAGGGAGACCCTCGAGTGTATGGACGCGTGTATCTCGGTACAGGCGGTCGTGGTCTTCTCTACGCAGATATTGCCCCGCGGCGATCCGACAAGGAGGGGAATGTACCGGGAACTGGAGGTATTTGATTAGTCATGTTAAAAATTGCTCTAGATGACATTAAACTCCTTTCTCCTTTCTCCCATTCGAGTAGCAGACTGGTATCCGCCGTGTCGAGGGAAACGTTCCTGTAGGTAAAAGCCTTGGCCAGGGCATATCTCGAGTAAGTACAGGCTCAACTCGTAAATGCGCTGAGGCCGTCCCATTAAGGAACCTGAGGTCTCTGGGAAGGAAATCCACCTCGACAGTCTGAAACTGACAGTGTCTTTCGTGTAATGCTTTTATGTTCGAGTCCAAAACAGACCAATTGGCCCGCGTAAGGTAATCCACGAGGATTACAATCGCTGGGAGGGCCTCTGCCTCCACCCGCTCAACGTTGAACGGGTAAAGAAGTCTCCAGTTGTTTCCAAACGTTGCTTGAATGAGACCGACAATTCTTTACTCCCCTCTTTCAAAGCCGACCAGTAGGCCGTGGTCGGGCGACTTCGGAAACAGTGACGGTTGAAAACACGGATCGATGTTGATAATCTCTAAAATCAGTCAACATCAATGGGTACGGCCAGAGGTACGGCCAGATGTTCGGCAAATTTGTGGACGGATTAGGGCCTCAGCTTGTGAGCTATCGTTCAATATCCGTCGTCCCCTCACTTTCCTCAGACTCTCGTAAAAGAGGGAGCAAATGCAAGAAGTTCGGGAGGTATATTTCGCTAAGGATCGTACAGTGACAAGGCGGGGAAGAACGATGAAGTGTAGCTCATGTACGTACTCAAGTAGCAACCAGGGAGCAACAAGTGAGACAGAAGGGAACGTATAATGGACAGTGAATGGAGAAAGTAGTATACTATGTCATCCTTTTATATATGATGGATGTTTGACTTTCAGAAGAGTATAGTATGACTCAGACTACCACCGGTGAATACAATCTGCAATGACCTCTATTAATCTTCACAATCCTACTTATGATTCATTGTTTGCCAACTCTGCTTTCAATAAACAAGGAGCTACATTTAATCTTCAGAATTCTGTGTATATTCCCCCGCCTTTTGTCTGTGCAGACTAGGAGTAGTGATAGATTATATTCCTTACTTTCAAGTCAAATTCTCCTATGTATGCAAGAAATGCTCGACAATGCATACATCTGTCCGTGCTCGCATGTATCCTGAGCAGCATATTGACTGAACTTGTATATAACTTTCACTGCGTCTGAGCCATCACAGCGTCCCACAACGTAAACCCCATGACTTCCCCAAGCTTAAATCCCCTCTTCCGTATGTTCCATTGTCGGCTTCTAGCAATAGTCACGAACACAAGCAGCGTACTTGGCGCTGTAGCAGGCGGTATAGCAACTAGGGCTCGAAGCGCAAGAACTGGAGCAGGAGCTCGACGCCAGAGAGGCACAGTTGCTCTTGCACGAACCTGGGAGAGTGCTGTCAGCTCTATATTACAGACATAGAAGTCGACGTGGCAGTCGTGGCTGAGATTGGTGCAGCTTACGTTCAACAAGTTCCGGTTCAGCAACAGGAGAAGCCGCAACAACGGCTGCAAGAGCGAGAGCAAGCAGAGCGGTGGCCTTCATGTTGTGGGGAGATTGGATTTGAGCTTCCGAGGAGAGAGTCTTCTTTTGCTGGATACAGTTGCGTAGATCTTGAAATGCTGTTGATGGAAGATGTCTTTCCTGCTGGCTGTTGTGCTCATTTTATACCTTTGGTTCAACCTCCTTGCCTCCTGAAAAGGCGAGAGACGCTCATTGCTGACGGCAATCCGGGCCGATACTGGAGATGTGAGGATAAAGTAGGATAGTATGTATTCCCACTCGGGATTCGCTATGCAAGCTCCTCACATGAGCGAATACGAGACATCTACTTAGTATTGGCCTCACTTCTTTGACTCCTCAGAGAAGTCTCGTATCCAGAAACTGAAACGATATACGCCAAGGACGCTCTATGCCAAATCTAAGACGGAAGACAGCTGCATGCTCGTATTCACTGATGTATGACAATATACCCATAGACGTCGCTGAATGTCTATCAGGTTTGTAATCGGATAGTGGGAACTGGAAGCAAATCAATTTGCCTAAACAAGAACTGAGAGAAGAGACTAGCACTTGTGTTCAACATTGATACGGACACCAGAGACTGGCGGAGAGCCGGTGATACTCCAGAACGCCACATCGTAGAAGCTGAGGTCACGGGCAAGACGATTTCCAACAACTACCTCGCAGGCAAGAGCTAGACCCAGATGTGATACGGCTTGAGCGCCTCCGAAAGTACGGAAGCCAGGAAAGTAGAGCCCTGCTGCTTGACAAGAGCGGAGTACTTCTGAACGCGACACTGCTTGTGTGTGTAGTGATGTTTGAGCGTCATCCGACGGTTGGTCAAGGTCCTTAATTGCAGCTGTACTTGTAGTTTTGCCTCCGAGCGAGCCTTTCGTGGCCTCATCATAAGGTATCCTAGCGAGGAACCTGTAAGATCCTCGTCTGCTTGTGTATCGTCTTCCTCCCTCTCAGAGTCTAGCTGCGGCAGCTTGCCCTTGATTTTCTCTAACCCTACCTTTTGACAGACTGAGAGGGGCCTGCCATCTGCTACCTCTTAATCTCTTTGTTTTACAATGCGGTACCATCCGTTGGTCAGTCGAATGCAGCTGCGTTTGTAATTTTGCCTCCTTCTTATGTTTGACGTACTCTGCACAGTGGAGGTGCCGGGTGCGCAGAGCTCGTCTTCGATCATCATGTAGATATTATCTTTCCCAAACCCTTCGCCCAAATATGCGTGGTTCGTAAACCAGAAAAGCCCCAACAGTCGCAGGGCTTATGTGCAGTGCGTATTCTTCTGAGGAAAATTGTCCTGTCGGCGACGGTAGAGGACTCGGTGCTGCGCAGACCCGATCAGAAAAGACTTTAATACCTCATGGAGCTTTCCTTTTACTTACATGATGTGTTGAAAGGAGCCACTATCGCAAGGCTTACCAGACTGTTCCAATATGGATCTATAATCTTCTGTGTTGGTGCCATTGTCATTTCGGACTGTGTTCTGGCCGAGTTCCAGTCTGAGTGTCCTAATTTGCGGACCAACGCGTATAAAACAGCGGACCTAAGTCTGAGATACCCATAGGTTCCTGCACCAGCCCAACACATGTTAGCAACACGGATGTTATGAGAATAGAGGGACAGTAACCAGCAATCTACACATACAACTGATACGGTAATATTGAGACCAAATACCAAGCATGAGAGGCGAAGAAGAAGAGTGTGTACTCCATAAGAGAAATATGGTGTGACGTAGTGGTAGCATCTTGGTGTTGTCATGGAGATGGGCGGATTCTGTATCTAGGAATCCTACTGTGCGACGCAATGTGTGCATCTCGCTACGCTGCATGCTGACAAAGCGGTAGAATGAGTCTACGATTTGGTGCACCGAGCAACAGGTCAGTCAAGGCAGAAACCTCGGAGTGGAAGAGGTGGGGGGTGACGGCTCGAGTATCAGAAACAGGTCGGAAGAACATACAGTTTGCTAACACTGAACTACGAAGTGGGATAATAGGACTATAGTCTACCTAAAGTCAGGATCATTTAGAAATATCACTACGGTTGACAATCATCACACCACGCTCCATTGCTATTCTACTTCTCCCGGATAAGTGGAGCTTGCTTTAGTATGAAGACATATTCGACTTGGAGCTATTACTTCTGCTCTTATCAGCATATGTTCTGAAGTTTGGATTACTCGCCCTATGAATGGTTCCGCTGAGTGTTTTCAGGAACAACTCACTATCCCTCAAACAAAGAGGCAAAGCATGAACGAGGTTCTTAGCTCCCAACTTGTTCAGACGGGCACGAATCTCTCAATTCACCTTCCATTGATACCTAGTTGAATGCGCAAACGGCCCTGATAGAATCCCTCTAGCCAATTGCGCATCGCCATCAGCATGAAGAGGCAGTCCCAGTCACTGCGTCCCAACCTGGCACCCATACATGGCATAACTCGCCTATAGTCCTCGAAATAACGGAATAGTAAGCTGCGAGGTGCTCGTATAGACTCTAGACTTCTCCCGCCTGGCAAAAGAGATAGCCAGCATGCTTTAGTTGAATCCCAGACATGCATAGCAAAATTTCCAAGCCAACTTCTCTTCTCCGAAGCAAGGTGGGCGCTTAGCCTCCAGCAATTCCGGAATACTTCGTACCAAACACCATAATGACTCGGCATGCAGTCCTAGTCTGATGATGGGTATGATGCGTCGCTGTTCAATTTGGGTGTGTCTAATGAATCTTACTGTTGACATCTTTAGGAGGGAGCAGGAGGGCACAAACAGCCTAGTGCAGATCTAGACAACCTCTCAGAAGCAATATTTGATCATCAGCAACGCGCACTGTTCAAAAGAACTTTCTAGCAGGAAAAGGCATATTGATGCATGGCAGAAGTTCCATGTCCCTAGAGTGGGATGCAGATTATTATCCCAGATGAAGGGTTCTAAATCCTGCTGACAGTGCAGATCGTGTCTGATAAGCGATGAATGATATCAGGCACAAATGGGATGCTTACTCCGTCCGGTTCTAGATAACCTAGACCTTGAATCTGCGCGTTATCAGGGCAGACCCTGCATATCTGACATCATCCACGCGGCATGGACGGACCTTATCTGAAATATATGGCAGTGCTTTCCCACGGGAAGGATAGATAGATCCTGATTGGGTTTGCTTTTCGTAACTCAGCTTTAGAATGCATAAACTGACAGCATGGTCATGCAGGTAACCAGAATTGATATCCTCCGTGTAGCAAACAATTACCTTGAGCACCGCAATTCATACCGGCTGTCATTCGGTTCCTGCCAATCCAGAGCTACAGGACATCCACAGGAGTAACTGATGCGAGACACCAATTATGGATTTTCGTTGATATCAAATCCATGACAGATAATTCTGCAACATGCAAGCAGAGGAGACGCTATGCTGGACCTTCGGTCGATCAGTGCAGAGGTTCGAATATCATCAGCTGGTCCAGGTATGCTGTCAGTGATATCTGAACCCAAGAGCGACATTCCAATCTCAACCGACGAATTTCGAACCAAACCACGACGCGCATGGGACACGTCAAGTTATTGAGACCCGAGATAGACTGATAGGGCTGGACGAGCAAACAGGCTCCCTACAATCTGATATTTTGGCCCGCAGGCCGCCGGTGGGTAGAAGGTAGCTAGGGCCTGAATTTCGGACGAATGGCGACGGCTGGAGATCTGTGGCGGTTTATTGGCTAAAGCCACTTTAGAGCCATGGCAGTTGCTGCACTTCATACTCGGAGGAATGGCCTTTGGATGATCAGCATTTGCGAAGCAGCCCAAATGGCTTGGACAGGACCGCTTGACGCAATCGTGGGACAGACAAAAGCCAAGGCTGCATTTCCCTTACTGCACTCTTTATTGGATAATGAAACGTCCGACATAATATATCTTTGCACTTGACAGGAACACCCCCGGGCAGTATGTGACATGGCTCCCTGGGCATGCGATATTGTCTTACGCTAGTGTCTCATTCCATTAGATCAGATTGTCGCCACAACCACTTAAGCGGTCCAGGACCAGGGCTTTGGCTGACTCTCTCCAGGTACCCTGGACGTATTGAGGCAAGACGCATTGAATGGTTGAGAAGATATCAAGCATGATTGTAACCACTTCGTTTCGCCTTTCGGAAGCTTAAATTATCAGTTGGCAAGGCACCCTTGCTTAGCACGCAGCATTTATGAATCCATATCCGGTCTCCTGTTTAATGTTTGACGACTGGCAAACTTGGCCGGCCTTTCTTGCTATGAGCCTGCAGATGCGGATGGCTCTGAGGATGCAAGGGACAAGAAGGCATGCGGGCTGGTTCGTGTTCATCGGGTGGAGAATAGGAACCTGTACCTTGACCGAGAATGGACAAATCGAGTTGCTGCGACAGTTCAAGTTGGATGTCAAGATCCTCGATTAAAATGACTCCGGCCAATATCTTTACGCTCTGGACGAATAATCGCGAATGCATTCCCATAGCAAAGACCTGATTAAGATATCCTTCTATGGACGTCCTGTGCAATAATCATCGATCCGGCAACAAGTCCTTCAATCAATGATAATGAACAATCGACCCTGTAAAGCCCTGTGACGAGCAGGATATCGCTTCTCAATGGAGCAAAGAGCAGAGTTCTCCATGGCTTCAACACTTCCATCCACGGTTGTTTGCGGCTCGCAGACCCCTCCGCCCTCAAGAGACTGCCTGCAGCGCGTTCAATCAAATCTCAAAGACTCGAAGTTGAAAGAGCTTGCCAAGGCAGTGGATGACCTGCCACAGTTTTGGTCGCATTTGGTTGAGGTCAAGCCCGTCTTGAGCCAAGTCAACGACGAACCTCTGAAAAAGTTGAAAGATTGGGTTATGGATGAGTCCTTGGAAATACCGGAAAGCTTGCCAAACATCCTATTAGCACCGCTCACAGTCATCATTCATCTGGTTCAATATCTCCGATTTGCGCACTCCTTGGATGCCGACGATTCCCAAGGAGACAGGCATCAGCGTATTCTGCAATCGACGTGTAAAGGCGGATTCCAGGGCCT